AGTGCTCAGTTAAAAAGCCAGCGCTGGGGAGGAGCGGGCGAGCCACGGGAGCAGCCCCACTTGCCCGGGCCAGTACGGGCTTGTCAGAGCCGCTGGCCGCCTTCCTCCCTCTGCAGCCAAAGCTCATGAGAGCTCCTGTGCAGTGAGCCAGGGGACAGGGCCATGGATGTGTGTGTGTGTATGTGCACCAGCAGCTGCTGCTCCGTATGTCATTGTGCAGGCAGCTCCCGTGCCAGCGTGGTACATCCCAGGGTGGTGTGGGGTGGGCTGCCAGGGCTGTGGGACCCCTGGCATGGTCCCAGGGGAATGATGCTCTCCTGGGCATGGGGAGATGTCAGACAATGCCACTGCACCTGGATTTTGAACAGACTTCATTGAGTGATGATTTACTGTGCTGTGCCCGAGTGGTGGCTGACGCACCAAGGTCCCTTCTTTGGGGACAGCCGTGTTCAGGCACTGTGCTGCACACAGGCCAGCACATACCCCCTTCACAAGACCTCTTTGCAAAAGCCCTGCCATCAGTTTGCAGTTTGGTTTTGTGAGAGCCAGGCAGGATTGCCCGGCTGGATGTGCCTTAGCTGTTGTGGCTGAGCAAGTTGGCACCCATCAGCTGAGCCACACCAGGACACCGCATGCTCCTTTGTAGTCTGTCCCAGCGGTACAGTCATCCCAAACAGCCCGGTTTGGTGGGTGCTTTCCAGAGGAGTGTTGTACTTTGGGGTGAGTACAACCGAATGCTGCTTCCCCACAACAATTCACAGCATAACAACTATGGCATTTCCCCTCCGCCTCCTTTAATTCATTGATCAAAGAGATCCTTCAGCAATGGCTGAAATTCACAGGTTGTTTGCAAACTTTTTGCTCTAGGAGAAGATGTAGGACTTTGCCCACAAAGGTGCTGGCTTGGGTTTTGTATTTGTTCACCTCTGAGACTTTGAGAAGAAGCTGCAGTCCTGCCTTTATTTAGCAGCGACGGGGTGGGTTTGTAAGCTGTCGAAGTTAAACTGGAAACACACCCCAAATTTAGGAAGACTGCAGAACACAAAGGCATTTGTAAACTAATGTAATTACTTTCCTCAGTGCCTTTGAGTAAAGTTGGCTCCACTTTAAAGGCTTTTTCCTACCCTCGTTTTACATTACGTTCTTTCCTTTCTCCTGCTTTCTTTCTTTTTTAATTTCTATCTTCCCCTCCCCTTTTAGCTCCAAGCAGCTCTTAATTTCCAAAATGTGTATCAGTTTTTGTTAGCAAAACTTGGCGTTTGGACATTTTCCTTTTGAAGGTGAGAATAACAACCCTGGGAAGCTGGATATGTGCTGTGCTGGTTTCTCACTGCCCAGAGCCTGTCCGAGTGCCTGGAGACCTCCCTGGGACAGGACAGGGCTTGCCCGGCTGGCCAGCGTGCCATGACAGCCAGCACCCACCACCGGCCTGGCTACCAGAGTGCTGGCCAGCCCATCCCCATGGTATCAGGGCCTCTGACATTGTATGAAGCATTGTTTTAACTCAGGCTGATGTTTTCCATGTTCCTCTAGGGTTTCTCCCATGCAGATGTGAGCAGAGGTCACAGTGAAGAGGGGTAAGAGGGGAAATTGAGGACAAAACCGAGCCCAGCCCCACACGTGGCATTAATGGTGCTTGTTGGGATAGTCATGGGCAGAGCAGAGCTTTTGGGAGGGGAAGTAGCAGGATGTAGAGCTGCTGTGCTGTATGGCAGAAGTATTTAATAATAAAACAGTTAAAGATATCGCATGATTTAAAAGGGACATGTTATCCATCCTGTGTCATTGCCCCACACTGTTTTCTTTATCTGGATGCAGCTCATGTTGCAGAGCCTGTAAGGTCAGTGAGGAGCCATCTGCCAGTGCTTGGGGGGTCTGGATCAGGCCCTTTGGCCGCAGTGCCCTGCAAGGCTGACTAGCTACAAAGACTTCTGCGTGCTCTGAACCAGAGGAGGAGTTATTTTCATGGAAAACCCTGACCTTTTGTACAAAAGCAAAGTGCAGACTGAGCAGTTTTAGTTTTCCAGTGAGTTAACATTTTCTGCAAACATTTTCCCTGAAAAGCCAAATTTATCTGAAAATCTCCCCTTTCCTTCTTCATTTTTCCTTACTGGGCATCCTGACTGGGCTGTGCCAGCCCAGCCGCCTGCCCTGCTCACTCACAGGGTCAGAGATGCTGTCAGCAGCCAGCTGTGAGCACAGAGGCAGGGGACGCTGGCATCCTGTGCCCCATCCCACCCGCCCTCAGCTCTTCCATGTGGGAGACCAGGGACATCCCACAGGGAATTGGTGGTGGATGAGACAGTGTATTTGCACAAGCCTGAGTTAATGTCAGCCCAGGCAAGGGGCACCGTTCTGCTCTGCATCTGCACTCTGACTGGACCTCTCTGTATAGGAGTGATGCTCCAGGTGAAAGGATCTGTGCATCCCCATGTTAAGGTTTGTCCCCAGGAGGGATGGTGGGTGTAAAGGCAACAGCAGAGGAAGCCATCAAAAAGCATAAAGAAAGGGTTTTCTCCCTACGAGATGTTCCATGGGCTCTGGGCAAGGACTGGAAGCTCCCTGCGCTCCATCCCCTCCATGAGCACCCCTGCAGAAGGTCCCCTTGGCTGATGTGGATCCAAAGCAAACCCTTTCAGGTTATTTCAGGCAACAGAACACAGGTTGGAGCCTGTTGTATTTATTTTGTTTTGCTTTTCAAACCAAATTGCCCATCCCTGCTGAGCTATGTTGCTGGTGCGATGGAAGCCAGTTTCCCGTGGACCTGCTGAGACTAAATGGAAAACTTCCCAGCGGAAGCAAGAGCAGAGCTGGGCACGTACATCACTCCACGTTGGGCTTTGAGAAGGCAGCACCCAGGCTGCCAAAGGAAAAACTCACATCCCTGCTTTCTGCCTAGGGTGAGCATCTTACAGCTCATTGCTTTAGGGACCCGGAGCAGTCTGATGGAATTTGGCAGCTCTTAAAAAAAAAAAAAGTCATTTCTGGACTCCACCAACTTCAAGTTGCAAGAAAAAAACCAACCAACCAACCAAAAAAAACCAAACACAAACCAACAACCTGAGCACAGGGGAAGTGAGCAGCCCATCCACACATGGGGAATTTGGCTGAGGGAAGTCAGCAGGCGTCTGTACCTGCTGCAGCGTGGCAGCGCGGTGGCCTGGCAGCCCGGTATAAGGTACAGCAGCCGGGGCATCGCCAGGAGATTTTCAGCTGCAAGCTCTGCTACGGACGAGCTGCATGAACTCAGGGAGCTCATTTAACATCATTATGCCGCAAATAGTCCTTTCCAGTGCGTATATTTGCTACCCTGTGTAGCATGTCATAAGAATTTGAGTGTTTTTAATGTGCTTTGATGTCCCTGGGTGAAGGATGCTCTATAAATGCAAAGTAAGTATTCTAATATACATAGTTTGTTTTCTTTTTAACATAACAAAATACTTAGCAGCCTTTCTTTCTTTGACAGTTTCCATAGCTGGTGGGTCTGTTTCTGCTGTGCCTTAGCAAAACAAATTTAGGGTTTTGTGATGGCAGATGCTCAGTGTGTTCCTCAGCTTTGTGACACGAGCAGTTCCCTTGTCGTCAGCACTACAGAGTTATGGGCAGAAATCTGCTAAAAATCTCCCTTTCCACAAAACCTGATGATGGGAAAGGTGGATGTTAGGGTTGGTTTGGAGAGGAACCATAAATTGAGAAGACAAGCAATTGCAAGCACTGGAGCAGCTCTGCTTGCACGTAGCTCTGAGTGACACCAGGGAGTGAGCTGAATGCAGAGTAATTCTTTCTGAATAATGCCAGTTTTGAGTATTTATTCTGGAATAAAAAGTGATTTCTTCCTGTTGAAGGATAACTCCCTGTATGAGCCACCCTCTCCTGCCAGCTGACCCCATTACCAGCCTCTCCATCCCCATCCCTCCTGGTGACCTGCAGTAGCTTGTCATCCTGCAGATGCTTTGGGGTTGTGCAGGCAGAGAGGGATTCTCTGGGGAAAGCCAGCCTAGGTGGTGCTTTCTGGGCCAAAGCCCAAAATGTACAGCGAGAGAAAAAGCTGCTCAGAAGCCATGGCAAAGCAAGTGTCGTTTGGGAAAAGCTCTGCGAAAGCTGCAGGCAATGCAGCCGCTTGGAAACGAATTGCTGCAGTGTCTGAGAGCCAAGAGGGCATCTCGGGGGGTCAATCCTACTGTGGCAAAGGCAGAAAGCTGTATGCACCAGGAAAACAATTGCATCTCTCTAGCCAAGTGCAGATTTAAGGAAAACATCCAGCCCCCTGCTCCTGCCCGAGCATCTGGGGCTGCAGGGACTCCCGATCCCAGCTGAGATTTCCCTTACCGTTACCTTCTCCTGGTTCTTCCTAAGAGATTCAACATCACCGTGGCCATTTCAGAGCTGATCCTCAGCCAGTGAGTCCCATCCCCGTGCCTGGCCCGGCCCTTGAGTACACGTCCCAGGTGTGGCAGTCGGAGGAGAGACGCTGGGGTTCAGGATGCTCTCCAGCCTGCCACTGGGCTCCTCCAACACCGGGGCACGCCGTGCCCCACCACGCTGCCTTTTTAATGGCTGGTTTTAATTATACGCTCCGAGACGAAAGAGAAAAACCAAACCTTCCAACAGATTTTTATCTGCTGTTTATTTCCACAAATTACTGCAGAAAAAAGCCCGGAGGGTTTTGATGGAGGTGGAGGCTGAGATAGCCGGCAACACGGAGGTGCAGCCTTTTTAACCTCCCCTGCCGAGGCAGGAGCCGACCCACAGCCGGCGAAACATGCTAACGCTATGGAGGCTGACCGAGCAAACGGTAACGAGCTCCGCCGCCTCGCCGGGGCTGCCAGCACTCTTTCTCGGTGGAGAAAAGGCAATAAAACCAAAGCAGTGCCTGGCTGCGTTTCCCCACTCAAAATCACTGGGGGGACCTTGTGCCCGTTGGCTCAGGGGGTGGCTGCTGGCCGGGCACAGGGGCTCATCCAGGGACCCCCACTGCAGCCCCCTCTCTTGCTCCGTAGGTGCACCAGTACTACAGCTGCCTGCCCGAGGACAAGGTTCCCTACGTCAACAGCCCGGGAGAAAAATCTCGTATAAAGCAGCTTTTGCACCAGCTGCCACCGCACGACAATGAGGTTGGTATCCAAAAAGTGTCCTCGGACATCCAGGGCTGTGGGTGCGGAGGGGATGCACCTCCTGGGGTTGCTTGTGGGAAGCTTGTGGCTGGTCCTTTCTCAGCCCTTTCTGCTTTTTTGGGGGGATTTACTTGGAGTTTGGTCATGTTGCTGTTTAAGTGCCGTATTTGCTCCCTGCTTGGGGTGTGTTAGAGGTGGGGAGGGAGTTGTTTGTTTCTAAAGTTATTTTAAAACTATCCTTCTTCAGTTCTCTGAAATAAAAGCACTTTCTCAGCCCTCCGAGGTCAAAGCCACATTAAAAGTGGCTTGAAACGCTGTTGAGATCAGCTAGAGCCAGATCCAAAGTTCCAAAAGCCTTTTCCCAAGCGCTGCTTCCGACTCACCTTGGGAGCGTGTGTGCCAAGCAAGGGTTTCAGTCGGGCTGAGCCTCGTGAGCTGGGGGAACCTGGCAAGTTGGAGGTTGAGTTAAGACCAGTCAGAGCAAATAAACCTTCTTATATCTCACAAGAAAGATGTGAGGCAGCAAAAAAGGGTCTGGTCTTTGACATGCTGTTCTCGTCAGTGAGCACATTGGCTTCTGGTAGCCCACAGAATTTCCCTATGTAAACAAAAAAAAATTATTTTCATGCTGCTATCTGAAGAAGCCGCTCTGCAAAATCCACGCAGGTAACTTGTTTGATCTAGGTCAGGTTTTAATGGGTTTGCCTGCGCGTGGCTGGGTGCCATGGGCATAGCGCAGCACTGCCAGCGCCAGGGGAGCTCCAGGCACCAGGCAGGGGCTTCTTCCCGTGCACCCTCGGGCCCCAACCTGCCCACCTGCCTTTCCTGGAAGCTGCTGAAAACCCACAGCCTCTGACAGCCGAAAAACGTAAGAATAAGTACACATGAATGCTGCTGCTGCAGCCCGTGCTGCTGCAAGCTGGAGGCACGAGCCTGCATGTATTTACTGCAAATTGGCATATTTTGCAGCCAGTTCCTCCTCGTGCACAGTTTTGCTTCTTTGAATATTCAAGGTGTGTTGGTTGCTCATGTGAATAATCTTGCTCGGCTTCATGAACCTGCTTTCCAAAGTAACGGAGGCTGGATTGGGCACTGGTGCTACACGTGGCCAACTTGGCTCTTCAGTTGTATTCTCCGTTGAGATGCAATCAGCCAAGAGCTAAGCCTGCAGGATGAAAATATCCAGGAAGACCTCAGAGTTTCATAAGCTTCAGGGAAATTGCATCGTTCATTGTTTATATCCTTTTATTTTACTTATTTCCTTATTACCTTCCAACATGGAGGTTTTGCAAATTGCAAACTTGACCCTACGCTGGAAGAATAATTTGAGTTCCCAAATAGCTGGAGCTCTCGTTTACACATGGAGGATGGACTGAGCTCCTGAAATGCCTATAAAAGACTTTTAATCTGCCGTAAAACCTCTGCCATAGGGAGAAATCAGGAAAACCATCAGTCAGATTGCTGGATTTGGGTGGGACTCTGAGGACTCAACTTTTAAGACTTTCCTACAAAACTAGCACCCTGAGAGCAACCTTCCTCCTGCCCTTTCTTCTCATCTCTACCTCTTGACATTTTGACTGACCCCTGGGCTGACAAAAGCCCAGACAGCAGTGTTTCTCCAGCCTCCCCCAAGCCCAGGCTGGAGTCTGTCTGTGTAACCCCCATGCAGAGGTTTGCAGAGCCCGTGGGACTGTGGCTCACTGGCTGGGGTGCCAGGGACACCCCCAACACTGAGCATCCCTTGTGTTTTTTAGGTCCGCTACTGCAATTCATTGGATGAGGAGGAGAAGAGGGAACTCAAACTTTTCAGCAACCAGAGGAAGAGGGAAAATTTAGGAAGAGGCAATGTCCGGCCATTCCCTGTAACCATGACGGGGGCCATCTGTGAGCAGGTGGGTAGTGGCTGATGAACTGGCACGAGCAGGGTGGCTTTTGAATCACCCAAGTAAAGCAAAGCTCACAGAGCAGCACTCACTGTGCCTGACCTGCTACAAGCTCTGGGGTCTGTTGGGGCACGTGCCGAGAGCACCCACAATATTTGATGTGAACCAGTCACGCCAGCTCCTGGCCTTGTGCAGGGGGGAAGCTGTTGATATCTTGGCCATAAAATAGGGATGAAAAGAGATTAAGGGTCACCAGAAAGGAGCGATGAATTAGCACTTCCTTCTGCTGTGGCTGTGAAAGCGGCTGGTTGGCAATGGGCAGCAGAGGGCTCACCCACCCCCTGTTAAACACCGGCTCTTCTGACAGTGTGGTGGACAGATCAACGGAGGGGACATGGCCGTCTTTGCCTCGCGAGCTGGGCACGGCGTTTGCTGGCACCCTCCCTGCTTCATCTGCAGTGTCTGCAATGAGCTGCTGGTTGACCTGATCTACTTCTACCAAGATGGGAAGATCTACTGCGGCAGGCACCACGCTGAGTGCCTCAAGCCCCGCTGCGCGGCGTGCGATGAGGTAAGAGCCAGCTCGTCCCAGCTTCTGCCACAGGTGCTGCCCACGGGGATGGCACGATAGGGTTCCCCTTGCCAATGGGGTGGTATTTCCCCTCCATCTGCCCTGTCATCTTCATGGAGACATGCATACGGAATATGATGGTTTGGCTTTGCCACGGGTTCATGCAAGCTCTTCCTGGGGTTTGAGGTGAGCATCTCAAGTGAGCATCTCAGGTGAGCATCTGGGGTTTGAGGTGAGCATCTCATCTACACTCAGGTAACTGGGGGTCTTTCCATGAGCGTTCCCACTTAAAGCACACACCCCGTGTTGTGTGATTTTTAACTCAGCTGTGTGTGGTGGTCCTCCCTTCTCCTCTATCTCCCCAGAAGAAGCCTCTGGTGGGATGAGTGATGTGTTTCCTACCATAGTGTAGTGTTTGAGTACAAGCTGAGCTGAAATAGGCTTTAGGAGAGGAGATTAACGGGCTATAGGAAGCTGAACAAATGGAATACAAAACGAATATAGAAAACCGTACAGAGTCACCTCTGAGCGTTTCTCAAGTGTCAATCTCTGTTTAAAGGCTGGTGAAGGAAATTGTTCTGGCTTTTAAAGTTATGAAAACCATAGTGTGGAAAACCATATGTACTATAAAATACCATGTCCCATCTATGCAAGCGTGTAATAGTAAAAATCCAAGGCTATACGCACTTCAAATATAAAGAACATTGACGTATGTATCCAATTAAATTTGTAACGTTACCAGTGAAAAAACAACTCCTAACCATTTGACTGGCCCTGTTTCCTTGTGGCTTAGACTGGGTAATTTTTTTTTCATGTATTTCTTTATCCTTGCAAATTCTCGTACAAGTCTTTCATTCAGCTCCTTTTTTAACACACACTTCTTCCTCTGAAACATCCAGCACTAATTGTGAGAAGGACTAACTCAGAGGTAAGAGGAGCTGCTGGGGAAAAGCTTTCAGTGTGACCAGTGCCAGGGCAGAGAGCCAGGGAGCAGAGCTGGACCACTGCTTGGCTTTGAGACTGGAGATGGGGTGGTGATGGGAAGCAGAAAGAGCAAGAAATCATCTGCTGGAACCATTTCACATTGCTGTTTCACTGACCCACTCTTAACAGTGCTCCGTGCCTCAGTTTCCCTACTGGTATAATGACTGATACCACTTGTATAAGCACACAGGCTGGGGTGGGGGCAGTGGTGAGGAGGCAAGTAGCTCCGTTTTCTCTCCCCTCCAGAGAGCTGCCACCTCTTGTGGTTTCACTCATCCTTTGTACACGAATCCCTGTTTCAAAGATGAGTAAATGTGCTTTAGTAAGTGGCTGCTCTGTTCTTCAGAAGTCCACTGGATCAATAGGTTGTATATAAGCGTGTTTATTACCCTGATCGACCCCTCCTGTTGATGGATGTGCTCACCAGCACCTTGTTACGAGCTCTGCCTTAACGCTTCATAATCCGTGCACTAACACAGTCTGGAGGTATTTGCATTGTAATGTTTTTCCTTTAAGAAGTGATGGATGTCCCTGCCACAAGCCAAACACGGGAGTTTCCCATGCAGGACAGGGCGTTAGCTGTAAAATTTGGAGGCTATATGAGCAAAGGGACACAGCTGCCGTGCATGGGCAGGAGACACAAAGGTTGGTGCCTGTGTCCCAGGTCCCCTTTCTGACCAACTCTTCTCCATGTTTGTGTTTCCCCCCTGACAGATCATTTTTGCTGATGAATGCACCGAGGCCGAAGGGCGGCACTGGCACATGAAGCATTTCTGCTGCTTTGAATGCGAGACGGTGCTGGGAGGGCAGAGGTACATCATGAAGGATGGCAGACCCTACTGCTGCGGCTGCTTTGAGTCCCTCTACGCCGAGTACTGTGACACCTGCGCCCAGCACATCGGTACGTGCCACCGTCCCTCAGCCCCGGGGCCAGCGCAGGGCAAACCTCTGCTTGGAAGGTTGTTTTTGGCAACAAAACATTGGTTGTTTTAATTAACATTTAAAACATTGGTTGTTTTAATGCAACAATGCTGTTGCATTAAGTCTTTGACAGTGAGTTGGGGGCTGTGGGCAGGACTACCTGTGACCACGGTCTGCCCCAGCCTGTGGCATCCAAAGAGGCTCATGCCCCCCTCACACCCCGCCAAGGAGCTAACGTGGTTATTTGTTTGATTAAACCACTGCTTGTCCCTTTTTGTGTTTGGAGAGAGGAGGACTATCAGAGAGCAACCTCAGGAGCTGTAAAGCTTTCTCTGGCCTGATATAGTGCACACTTTTTATTCCTTTAAATCTGATTTTCCTGTAAACACCCTGGCTCTTCGACTCTCAGATTTTTCCCAGCCAAGCTTGCCAAAGGATTGCACGAATTAATGACTTACTGACAGCAAAGATGCTTGTTCATTAGCCATCATTAATGTTTCTATTTGTCTTCTTTAATCAACCGGCAGATAGATGTTCTCAGACAGAAAGAAATAA